ATATCCATCCGCACCACGCATGTTATACGTTAGTGTACGAGGAGGGGTAGGATTAGGATATCCATCCGCACCACGCATGTTATACGTTAGTGTATGAGGAGGGGTAGGATTAGCATATCCATCCGCATCATATAAAGTAGCTGACAAAGGACATTAGACGATTAACACAAAAAGCCCAATTGAATTATAAAGATAAGGTTGAGGAGAAACTGAAGACTGGTAATGCTAGAAATGCGTGGCGAGGGCTGAACAAAATGATGGGTAGGGAGCAGAGACAGACCATTCAGTGTGACGACCCCGCCCACCTTGCAAATAATTTAAATATATTCTACTCCAGCATGATTTTAGGAATGAGTGTGACACTGTTCGCTCTAGACTGACCTCTGACCCAATGATTATTCAGGAGGAAAGAGTGATCACTATACTGCAAAAGGTTAATCCTCACAAAGGCCCGGGTCCAGACGAGCTCAAAGGGAGGGTCTTAAAGGAATGCGCAGTCCAACTGGCACCAGCTGTCATGAAAATGTTTCAGCTGTTTCTGGACTCTAACTTTTATCCCTGGGCCTGGAAGACAGCAAACATTATACCTGTACCAAAAACTCAGTATGCAAAAACAAATAATAACTTTAGACCAATTGCTCTCTCACCCCTCCTCAGCAAATGCATGGAGTGCTTTGTTCGGGATGAACTGACCCGCCAGGTAGCAGGATCACTGGACCCCATGCAATTTGCCTATCGAAACAACAGAGGGGTGGAGGATGCGACACTCACCATGCTAAATAGTATTTACAGTCATCTGGACTAACCCAACAGTCATGCTTGTATTCTTTTCATGGATTTTTCCTCAGCCTTTAATACAGTCCAGCCACACCTCCTCCTTGGGTGCCTTTGTGACCTGAAAGTTAGTGGTGGTCTCATCCTTTTCATATGGGAATTCTTGAGAGGCCGACCCCAGCGCGTCTATATTAAGAACTGCCTCTCTAATACTCTTGTTCTGAACACAGGTGTTCCTCTAGGATGTGTACTATCCAGGGCTGGACTTGGACCAGAAAATGGCCCTTGCATTTTTTGGTCATGGCGGCCCACTATGATTATTTATACCAGTGGTTCTCAACCGGTGGGGCGCGCCCCCCGACACTCTCGCCGGGGGGCGCAAGTAGGCTACAGGATGGGAGGAAAAAAAACTGAAAAAAAAATTGCAAATTTGTGATTTGTTTGGATTCATCGGATCTGTTTTCGCTGCTAAAATAGACCAAAACGGTCATTATTTCATCAAAAATGTAAGTGACTTAATATTAATAACTTGTTTGTTGAACTGTTATATGAAATCAGTGTCACATTTTCAATCGTGAGGTGATGGTAAATTAAGTGATGGTCAATTGTCAGCTCTCTTGGTCGTCAGGTCGTGTGATGTATGTTGCTGAACTGTATTCAAATGT